AGATAGATTGATAGATAGATAGATAGTTAAATAGTAAGATAGATCTATAGATAGATCGATCCTAAACTTTATGGACTTGGTTTTGGAGACTATTTATAAGGCAAATATATTTGTATATTACATTTTGTGTACTAGAAAATTCAAGGTGTTTTACAGGGAAAATAATATACATTAAAAATTAGTTTAAAAGCAAAAACTGTAAAATTTGACTAACTAAAACAATAAAGATATCATTGGTTGAATAGAAGAGTGAAGTGAAGAGTGCAGAGAAAATGCATTAAGTTGTCAAACGCACAGCGTTTTTAGTCTGGATTTTAGCAGTCAGAGTTCAAGTCTGTCCGACCTTTAGGAAGACTGACCCAGATTTTAGGAGCAGAAAACTGAAACTCAGCCTCTGCTGGTTTGGTTCTGGTTCTGGGCCCCAGCATGAGATGAGAACCTGAGCTTTCAGAGTCCAGGTGGTCTGGAGATGGACTTTAGACCACGAAGAGACTTATTTTACTGCCTGTTCTTTTAGAGATGGGAAGCCAGAGCAGAGACCTGCACTTAAAACTGGATTTAGTCACATGATTTATCATTCTTCTGTTGGTTTTTGATGGAATACATTTTTTTAAAATCTCTCCTTTTTGTTTTTTATTTCAATGTTTTCCAGAGTCTACCAAACATTCCTTCTTCATCATAATTCGAGCTGGGGGAGAAATCACGGTGGCCACGCCCCTGGCCAGTACACACAGCGGCCTGAGTGGAGACACCCTCACCTTCCCCACCAAGTTCACCCAGTGAGTCCGCCATGATCCACTCACTGTCATTCCCTAAGGATGTCCTGATCCAGCTTTTTGTATTTCCGATCCCGGCCTATCAGAGCATGTGTTAAAGTCTAAAGTTATTTATCTACTTACTTAGTTGTCAGATTCATGTTGAACAGGGATTTACTCTGATAACAACTTAATGGTTAGGACACAGACCTGTGGGTTACAGATGCTAACGCTAATGCTAATGCTCGTGTGGGATCGGACTTGGAAAAATAAAACTGGATCTGGAGTCTGGATCTGCATTTTCTCCGCAGCCGATCTGATCCAGATATCAGATCGGGACAAGCCTACGTCAGATTGTTCCTTTTGGACTCTGTAATGATTTAAAATCCAACCTTTTCAGGTCTGACGTCTCCAGTAACTTTCAAATAGGGCTGGACGTATACTGCCTGGTAAGTGCTTTCAAATGTCTTTTTAGTGGTTTCAGGTTTTAGAGTCGACTGTTACACAATCAAATTTCTGCTTTCACGCAGTTCTACATGGAAAACTTCAGAAAGTATGAAAACCTGGGACACATTTGAATGTTTTGATATATAAACATGATCAAATTGATATTTATTTGTCTTATTCGCAGTCAAACATGGTCCAACTGGCAGTAAAATGCTTTTGACTGCTCGTCCATACAGTCATATAAAAAAATTAAAAGACTTGAAATGTAAGAAGAATGAATAAACCAAGGTTTAACATTACAGAAATGCTCTAAATAATAAGTCTCCAACTTAATGTGTAACCCTAATGTTTTCTTTTGGCTCAGTCACTGTAAACCATTTAGTTTGTGCTACTTGCTGTTGTAAAAACATCAAATGCTTGCAAACAAATACAGAAATGTCACACAAGTGTGTGAAGTTTACAAATATCTGATTTAATTCCCTAGAAAAGCAGCTCATCAACCTCTTATACACAAATGAGGACTTCGAAAAATGAAATGAACCTGGCTGATTAGTCTCTAACAGATGATAAACACACATATTCAGAATTAAAGGCAGCTATTCTCCTGGTCTACATGTTTTACAAATGTTTGATAAAAAATTTACCGTTTCAGGTTCAGAAACGGGAGGTCTGCAGTGACAAGAAGAAGAAACCCAACAAGTCGAAGGTAAATCCGTCCTGTGGACAGTTTTAGGCTCCAAACTATTGAGTGTGTTGTCATATTAAAAGCATGCTTGTGTGTCTCCAGATGATGTGGAGATGGGTTATGTTGGTATGAACAGTTTTTTTCTGAGATCTCTCTCTGCACCTTGGGTGGTCGTTGTACGGTGTGGGGGGGAATGTTTTGGAGCCAATATAAATGTTGTTTTACCTTTCTAGGCCATCACTCCGAAGAGATTCCTCGCGATCTCTGTAAGTCATCCTCAGTTATTTTCGTCTTTCCAGATATCTTATTTTATCATAATTGTCTGACATGTATTCTTTTCCTTACAGAAAAGTGCACAGACACCAGGTATGTGGAGATTTTTAACAGAGTTTGTAGTTTTAATTGCACAATTTTGACTAAAATCGTCAGCAGGAGTCAAGAAGCTGGTGTTCTGCATTCAGGAAATCTCTTAAAGGGGACATATTATGCAAAACCAAGTTTTTAATCATTTGATTGTGT